TCCTAAATTACTCAGTGCAAAATAAGCAAGAAATCCGGAATATTAGCAATAATATTCGGCAAACAAATTACAAAATTCAGATAATACGAAACAGTTCATCAACCTATTGTGAATAAAAACCGTATTCCCACAAGATATAGAATATTTTGTTTCTGTATGATGGTGAAACCAGTGGAACAACTGTCAACGATATCAGCACCACTACTATAAAGTTTCCTTGATAAAACAGAGGAAAAAACGGAAATGAAAGGTAAGAACTTTCAATGATAAATAAATCTTCAATACCGAAAAACTCCATTTCGATCTCTTCCCTGGAAAATTCCAAAAAAGCACAAAATGTATCGGCAACGTCTACATCACAGACAGTTTCAACACAATTTATTCAATGATCGAATAAAAACTGAACATGATTAGATACGAGTTTCTCTTTAAACGGCTAGCTAGTTACAACAATTTCTATGTTACTGAAATATATTTGACGCTAACAACAGTCTTTTATAACAACAGTCTTTTAACAACAACAGTCTACGCTAACAACAGTCTTTTATCAAACAGATATTGCAAAAACGACAATAACCTCATGATCCTCATCAGCTTCTATACGTATATTCTTCTTCGCATTACAGATTTTTGCAGTCACTACTGTTTTAGTTTCATCAAACAGATATGGAAGATAAAAATGACGACGCCTTTAAAGAAAAACCTAACGAAAAAAATCACCACAGATAGTCGATTGGAAAGTGCCTATTCGTGGGCATTAAACAGTACATTTGTAAAAAGTCCTGTTTAGCTACGGCAAGTACTGATTCCTGATCACTTCACTCATTATACCAAACCAATAAAGACACAAAAAAAAGATCAGACATACAGGCAGGGAGACAGAGGCAGAGAAGAAGAGAGAAAAAAAAGTAAGCCTCTGAAACTGTCTCCAATGTACACATAATCTGACTATCAATCGAAGCTCAATAAATGGGTTTATATATATATATATATATAAACCCATTTA